ATATAATATACACATCGCGGATATCGTGCTTTGTGCCAAACAACGTATATACGCTATAATGATAATTCTCAAATACATGTTTCAAACCTTATTTCTTCATCGGTTACAGTGTTACCAAATAGAATAGGCAAAAATGGTAGAGCAGGATATCCATTATTTTCAACGAGCATACTATTCAATTTTTGTCCTCTGTATCGCATATATATACGTGAGTTTTGAAATATTCTGCTATCATGTTCGCTTCCTGGCCATTCAGGAACTATATCCAAAATTTCAGTGCATAGCCTAACAACAAACTATAAAAATAAATATGAAATAAGTAATTATAATAAATTATAAATGAAGGCTCTTTGATGCACAATAAAAAATCAAAAATAGGAAATATCTGAGGACGAAATTATTCTGCTAGAGAAAGATAACATAGTTCGTAATAATTTCCAATAAAACAATCTGAACATTCCCAAAATAGCAGAAATATTTGAAATATATCATAAGGATATCTTAACCCGTTGCGGTCTGCGCTGTATTCGCAATTTCGTCTCAGCCGGTCCGCACAGATTTCGCCAATTGTTCATCCGCTTGATACCGTTTACTTTGGAAAACATTTATGATGCTACACCACAGCTCTTATCTTATCTCTTTTAGCGTACGATGAAGACTCTGTCAACGTCGACTCTGTCGCGTCATAGGTCGCGTTGGAACGAAACGCCGTGTCGAATTTCGCTTGACATAGGACTTGCTGGAACGAAACGCTGTGTCGAGTGACGCTCGATATAAGACCGCAACGGGTTAAATCGCAATATTTTAGGATATCTCTATTTTATATATTTCTGCTGTATAAATTCTTAAAAGTAATAAATGTATTTTATATGACAAAGATAAGCGTACCATTTTGTATATATATGTGTATGTAAATATCTTGCTATATACACATTAAAGTTATTAAAATAAATATATACGTACTTGAATATTTAACAAAAAGTACCTCTTTCGATTCCTGTATATTTCATTTATATTTTGAAACCTACTATGTATAAGACGTATTTATGTGCAATCAATTACTCCATCAATGCTAGGAAGGCCTATTGCTCTAGGTCCACATCCCATTTCTTTAAATAATCGTTTATTTTCTGAACATACTTCATCTGATTGTAGTATTTTTATGTATCAATTAATGTAGCTTGCAATCGAAGTTGATATTCGAAAAATGATTCTCGAAATAGTAGATTGTGAATTTGTATTACATCCCCTACAATAAGCTGTAAAAGTAAAGATATTAGATTCTTTAAACTTTACTATCATATTATTCAAATCTGATTTTATATATCATGCACCATTATTTAATACAAATATAATTAAATTATACCATATTTTTATTATTACTAACCTTAAAACTTGCTGATGAATAAAATCGTAAATAAACTAATAATGCATAACGAGTGATACTGGCAAGCCACAGTTATTTTCTTTTGCAAGTCCTTCATCTATAAGTGGCAAAATACCAAACATTATGGAATCTTTCGTGAAACGGAATCTAAATTTTTCTTTTAAATTCCCAATCGTTGTAAAAGTGAAACGGATTTTGTGCGTCACGGATATATCGTTTAGGAGCATGTGTTTGCTTTTCATTCTCTTCTTCTTCTTCTTCATTTAAAAAATTATTATCTTGAATTTCAAAATTTATAGGATTTTCTAAATTATTTCACAATGAAATATAATACTATTATTTCACAATGAAATATAATTTTCACTGTAGCACACTACACTTGTTGCTTAAATCTTCTTTGAATACATCTTAGCATGTCCAAGATCATTTCGTTTATCGATATATACATCAAATAAGATACTCTGATGTAACGTCCGAACTTATTTTGAAACATTAATAATATATTAGTATAGATCGGAGGCCGACTTGTCTGATTTCAGACATCACTAGGTTAGATATTCACTAGGTATAGATATNATGTTAGTACGTGCGCATATGTATATTCGCGCACGTTAAATATTATAATTAAAATTATAACGCCGAAGAAACGACGTGTCGTTAGAGTCTTAAAATCGATGGATCAACTATAGACAAGAGAAACCGTAATCTCTCAATGCGATAAGGCATCCCGTTGCTAACATAAACAGGAGCATGAAACCTGAATCCAAACACTACTCAGGCCCGACGCGGCGATATCGACGCGGTGACATCACACTAATAGAATGAATTTCTTCCATCTTCATGAGTCCATCAGCCAACCAGAAAACGACTCTCAGCGACAAAGCAACGTATAAAAACGCGCGCATTCGTTGAGAAGGCGATTTTTTTCTCGTAATTAGCTTTTAGTACTTGTGTACTTATATACCTTGGAATATATTAGTCATAAAATCCGACTGTGTAGCAATTATTTTTGTCTACCCCTCATTTCTCGAACGTTGCGAAATCGACATTGGAATCGCGAACCGCATCATCCCGTGCAGCGCCAGAACATCCGAGACCGAGCCAGGAGAACGAATGACTCTGATTTCTCACCAGATTCATCGATCGTTTCGCCAGACTCCGGAGACCCAGGGTAAACTCGGTGAAAAGCAGAGTGACCTAAAAGCGGAGTCATCACTCTGTTGACCGTCCACGTAAGTCACTGATTTTACTACTTTCAAATTTCCTTATATAGTTATCTATCGTGGACGTAACACTGAAATGATTATGGATACCTAAATAATAAGATAACCTTAATTCTAGGCGTATGACGAATAAGAAACATTTATGAAAATACATTAAAGCATTCTAAAATAAGATCGCTTCGGATAAAGTACGCCTTTAGATTTTGCTCAAATCTTTACTTATTCTTCGACTATGAATCTAAAGAGCGCCTTAAAATGAAACTTAAGGTAGTCTTCGAAATAAGATTCGTCTATGAATACGGAGTGTTTTCCAGTAACCAAAGACGTTGTATAGATAGGCCAGGCACGCCAGGCCGAGCGAGTGGAGCGAACGAAGAGAGAGACAGAGAGATAGTTGGAAGAGGTGCTGACTCTTTCTAATGCTATGTGGAGGGAGCACCTCCATTCTCTTCCTTTCCTTCTCCGCACTAGCAGACGAGCGTAGACGTGTGCAGCAATATACGAAGTTCTCTAACTAATGGATTGAGTATTTTTTTTGGTTATATAAATTAATAACAGGGAAAATAAAAACAATATTTGAACAATTAGCAACATAAATAATTTTTATTGATTTTTAAATAATGTTAATTTATTATTTTTCATCCTTAATCTAGATGTGTTTTCTTGAAACTTTTTGCATTCATGATGCATTCTAATTTCAAAATATTTTTTTAGTATAGTTTTTATTATCTGATAACGATGATCAGATAATGGAGATTGTTCCAATAAATGATTTGTATCATCAAAAACCGACGTTGGTATTAGTCGAAGACATTGGCAAGTTAAAAATAATAAAGCATTTTTTGTGGAAAATATTTGAGACCTACTGTGCCTTATAACTTTTTCTGCAACTAAGCAAATATGGATAACGTCAATTATCTGTGAAAAGAACGATCACTCCGTGGTTCTGCTTCAATGCCACAAACGC